ACANACANATATATANATATATATATATATATATATATATATATATATATATATATATATATATATATATATATATATATATATATATATATATATAATTCTACAGATATATGCTAACGCATTTTATAACTTATATCTCATCGCCTACCAATCCAAGAAGAAGGGGCTTCATTTTGTTCTTCATCTTCCCAGCGAGTGTACAGTATTGGCTTACGCCACAATCTGTTCATCATCGTGGCGATATCTAATATGATTTGCAAATTGTTATATGTTTGTGAGAAGGTTACGCTACATATGTATGAACCATACGTTGATATATATATATATAAATATATATATATGAGAATGATACACTACATATATATGATTTTATTTAAGATGACACTATATATATATAAATATATATGTAAAGGTATACTATACATAGATGTGAATCATACATTGATGTATATAAATCAACATGCTTTCACTATATGTGAACATACATTTTGTACATTAACTAAAAGGCGTACATTATATGTAACTCATTCATGTGTGTATTATCCAATGTAAGTCAGCTGTAAATCATACATCGGGTTACATGTGTATCGATAGAATGCACCCGCACGTACGTTCGGCGAAACCTATACATGTGGATCATCCATTGATGATTATATATCAAAACCATACACTATAAGTACGCTAGAATCTACCGATGTGTATATTAAAAAACATCCCAAAGGACATCTAAAACACATGTGCGTCATATATTGATTTATACGTATCAAAAGGCTCACACTACATATAGGTTAGAATACACACGCGTATATATACAGGCGGATATACCATACATATGTGCATTATATCGATATGTGAGACGAGAACATCATATGTACGATAAAATACTTACGTGGGGAAATGAGACGATACCTATGTACGCGCAACCTAAATTCGTATATACTTATCAGCAGGCATACAATATATATATATATATATATTATACGACACACGTACACACGTGCTAAATGTACATGTATATACGTAAGAAATACATGAACCCATACATACGATAAATGAATACGTATACTCCTACATACGTGTTAATACGTAAATTATCAATGTATATATTTTCAGTGCGGTATGGTGGTGCATACATATATACGTGTTTGTATGTAAATTACTAACATATGCATTTTAGTACGGTATGAAGTACATAAATGTACGTGTTTATACATGAACAACTGACTTATGTTCGAGCCCATTATGCCAAGTATGGTTCACACCTAAGTACGGCGGCGAGGCCATAAATACTAATCTATATGTACGGTATGATGCATACATATATACGCGTTCATATGTAAACTACCAATGTATATACTTTCAGTACGGTATGAAGCACACATCTATACGTGTCCACATCTATACGTGTCTATATACGAATTACTAATCCATCTATGAGCTTTGTATGCAAGGTATGGTTCACAAGTAAGTACGGCGGGAGGCCATAATTATTAATGTATATGTACGGTATGATGCACAATATACGTGCCTATATGTGCACTACCAATATATGAAATTCAGCACGGTATGATGCATGCATATGTACATCTTTGTATGTAAATTATCAATGCAGGCGTGTTCAGTACAGTTAGTACGATCTACACATATATACGTGTCTATATGTGAAAATTGTATGCACGGTATGGTACACACCTAAGTATGGCGGCGAGACCATATACTTATATATATATACATACACACACACACATATAATATATATATATATATTTG